AGCTTGAGGAATGGTGGATAAACACAGGAATCGAACAGGAATTCGATGAACTAGAGATCGTGCGCTCAAGCACCGGAAAGAATCTCGAAGCGGATAAAGAAATATTCTAATTCTGAGAGAAGTGTCCTCATTGGGGGAGTCGAATGCGATGCTGTGGGGATAGCTTTTGAGGAAGCCGGTTTCCTTGGGAAAACGTCGAAAACACGAAAATGATTATGACCACCAAGAGATGGAAAGAATTTTCTTGTTATATCCGTCTCGCGGATGAATGACGCTCAGAAAAAATTCGTTTGGTGCAGTTCCGCCGTGGTGCAGAAGGCTTTTGGGCGGAAAATGTCCGAAAATCAGGTCAAGAGGGGAAAAAAATTGTTCAACTCTCGAAGAGAAAAAGTGTTGGGCATTCGGGCCCATGTCTTTTCAGCATTTTTCCTCAGCTTTTCAACAAAACCAACCCGGGGTCTCCATCTCTTCTCGTTGTCGCACAAAAATATTTTGATGAGGATGAATCATTTTTCAGAGTCGACGGAGGCGGATTTTTTGTTCCTAGAATATTCGGGAATAAGGGGGCTATTGAAGTTGATCAATTGCGTCGATATACTTCACTTAGGGAGGGGAATCATCGCGTATCAACAGATTTGAAATCCCCGCTTGGGCCGAAAATCATGCCTTATTCCGCTATACCCTTTGTTCGATCAACACAACCATTCAGTTCGGCTTTTCCGAACGGCGTTAGAGCGCATGCCGACCGATGAGTACAAGGTCATGATCAGAGCTGTCAAAACACCACCGGGCCTACACGAAAGGCGCCCCAATGTGGCAACGATTAACGAAGTAGCGTTTGTTATTGTTGGGGAGGATTTCAACTCACGCGATAGTGTCCTTCAGCGAAGAAGCGGTTCCTGAAGCGAATCGTTCGTAGGACGCTTCACAGTATCCCCTCATATTTCGGGAAGGACAAGACGTTCATCATGTGGACATCGAAAGGCTTGATCCGCAAACAGGTACAGAAAACGACAAAGAAGTCAGCGCCACTCTTACCGTTTGATGGTTCGATAATGCCGACAATCATTTTTCACGATGCCGGCAGTTGTTCCATCATTATCGACTTGATGTTGACATGTATGCGAGGATCGAGACCGAACGACTATAGTTCATCAGGCTGAATCAATCGAAATAACGTTCAGAGGAGTATCTTCATTTACGCGATGCGATAAACAACGATGGCAAGGTCAATCCCAGTGAGCTTGGCAAGATGGTGATCTCGCCTGCGACATTCACCAGGAGCCCAAGACATATGCACGGATACGCGCAGGATGCTATGACTAGAGCCCGGGCCTCCTTGCAAAATGCATAAGATGCGTAGAAACGCATAAATCGGCTTTTTTGGAATAAATGCATTTATGGTTGTTCGGAAGACAATTTTGCATATATCGTTGCAATCGCTCTTAGCGCTCCCATGGCTAACGGAGGTCTTTATAGGGACTTCTGACCAGTCAGAGGGTCTGAGAATTGTGGGAAGCACGGACGTCGTCAAGAAAACTCTTCTAGATCTCCACAGAACCCGCGGAGCCGGGCGGAAAGATCCGCAAGAAGTGCGACCTCATTCTCACCAACAATCCCGATTTTCATCACCTGGACGAGGTGACGGATATACTCCATGTAAACCCGTCCGAGAGGAGCATCGACAAGTACTCGCCGTCGGAGCTCGCGGCGCTCAAATTCGCTCCTATAACGTCAGTCGACGTAGAGAGGACTTTCTCGATCTTGGAACATACCACAAGCGATCGGAGACAAAGTCTCACATTCGACCATTCAAAGCAACATCTCATTGTGTACTGCAATCCGTGAAAATTGAGACTTGTGTGCGGATTCCGGAAATGAGCCACTTTGATCGCATATCTGCATGCATAATTCCACTCTTTTCAGTGCATGCAGGTCCGGGCTCTAGGCTATGACTTATGTATGTTCGGAATTATGGTCGCCCAGATTTTTTCATTACATATCGGTGAATCTAACCCCGCGTTGGGGGAGATGAAAGCGCTATTGTGGCCATATCAATCGAGCTCGGATCGCCAAAATATTAAGGCACGCGTGCTCGAACAAAAATTGAAAGCGCTCGTGGATTTCATTGTGAAACATCATGTTTTCGGAGAATCTCGCTGTTGGATGTATTCTATTTGATGGCAGAAACGAGGATTACCGCATGCCCGAATTTTGATTTGGCTAATTGTAAAGATGACACCAGAGAAGATTGACGATGTGGTCTCAGCCGAGATACCTGATGCGGGACTTGATCCGGAATTATTCCGAATCATTCCGAAAAACATTATTCATGGGCCATGTGGTGCGTTGAATGGCAGATACCCGCGCATGAAAGACGGTAAATGCACGAAAGTATATCCGAGGAAACTTCTAGCCGGAACTGTGAATGATGTGATTTTCTCCCCTGAGGTCGTGGTAGAGAAGCTTAAAAAGCTCAAGAATAAGCATAGTCTCACTCCTGACGGCATACCGCCCTTCGTATTCAAGCTTCTCGCTCACTGCGTCTGCGAGCTCCTCTCGCTAATTTTCACTCGTTCTTTCGAAGACGGCCAGGTTCTGATTTTTTCCGGCTATCGATCGTCACTCCCGTGCACGAAAAAGGTCCCAAATGCGATCCCAAAAATCACCGTCTCATTGCCCTAGCCTCCATCCCGTGCCTCATCAAGGAGAGCGTTGTGACTGACTGCCTAGCCAATTTCCTCGCAACCACAGGCCAGAACGACCCTCACCAACATGAATTTATCAAAGGTCGGAGTACCGAGACCCAACTTATCGAAGTATCACACTACGGGGCCGTTGCAAAAAATCAAGGAGCCCCCGTCCACTGTGTGTAGGTGCTTCGACTTCTCCTCCGCTTTTGACATCTGTGATCACGCGATTCTTCTGTCGAAAATGTCTGATCCCGGCTACGGGAAGCGTTTCGTCTGCTGGTGCCGTCAATACATCACCGATCGTCACTCCCGCGTCGAAGTTGGTTCTACCATGTCTGGGACGGCACCCGCGCCGACTGGCGTCCCGCAAGGTCCCCGACCCGGACCCCTTCTCTTCACGATCTACTGTAACGATCTCAAATATCTACCTACTGAATTTTTTTTGCAGCATCACCGATCCCACTGACTGTGCTGACCTTCAGAACACGGTCTTCAAGATATGTGAAGGGGCCGAGTTGAACAAGATGAAGCTATCGATACCGAAATGCGCCGTCGCGATGACGGTGCCATGTAGTACTTTGCCGACGGCCATCCCGTCCCCATTGTTTCCTCATTCCGGGATTTTGGCGTCCCGTTCGACTCGGATCTCAAGTTCCGATCTCATGTAGTCAACGTTGCTCGCGCCGCTGGTCGAGTCTCAAACCTCATCTTGCGCACTTTTATTGTTGATGATCCGTCACCATACACCGCTCTCTGCCGCAGTTTGGTCACTCCTCGTCTCCTGTATTGTTCAACTGTCTGGTCCCCAACTTATGAACGAGATTTGTCTTTACTCAAGCGCATACAATCTTTCTTGTCCATTGCCTAGCTCGCCGGTGCAACATTCCCAAGTTGGAACACGATTTCATCCCACTCCCAGAGCTTCTCGTCCGGGCAGATATGTAAGGCCTTGGCCCTCAGACTCCTAGCACAACGCAAACTCTGCGATATCCTCCATCTCGCACCGAACAGCCGTAGGACCGGCCTCTCGGCGAAGCCGCCCGATACTGCCCGTACCGCTGTAGTGAACAGCTCCTACGGCTGGCACATTTGTAAATTTTTAAATGAGGATGTAATATTTTGTGAGCGATTAAAAACCCTTTTCGAAATAAAAGGAGGAATGAAATGATATCACCGGGAATGATGGTTATCAAAAATACATTCACGGTTCGCAGCGAAGCCCGACCGGGTACGCTAGTGTGATATGAAAATGGGAGAACGGGAACATGGCGGAGCTAGAGAACAGGGGAGCGGGACAACGGGGAAGCTGTTGCATGCAATTAGGGGACCTGGTTATAGTCGCGAACTGAACTCGGGCCCTAGGCAACACGTCAGGATTTCCGAGCTTCGGCTCGTTGATCGTTTGAGGTCGCGAAGCGCCAAAGATACTGAGGCTCTGGATACGAGCTGCTCGTTCCGCTACCTCTGTTTTCCTTCTGTTTATCTCTGTTCGCGCGCCTCTAGATGGCTGCGCCGCGACGTCGCAGTGGTGACGTCACGCGAGACCGACAGTACCTGACGCGGTTACCGGGGGACCCGAAGTTACAGATATTTATTAGTCATTGGCATAGTATTCCTAGGACATAAATAATTCACACTAGATTCCCAGATCACTACGCTGCTGAATCACGGATACATCCCGTCTTTCGGAGGGAAACCCCGAGGGCGCCCTCAGACGGGAGCTCTCGTAATCTCATCTCTGCGCGCTTCCAATATCTCGTCTGGAGCGCATGTGACACTCCACCAACGCTAATCTACTGATTGGGGTTTAAACTTAACACAGAACAGAAAGTTTTCTTCTCATGAAACATCATTCAGTAATAATTTTTTCCTAGAAATTTAGCTTCTGCTCGGAGAGTCTCGTACATTCGACTGTGGTTCCCGAGTCGTCGCATTTACCTACGTGGCATGCAGTGGTTCCCTCGGAATAAATTCTATTCTCATGAACTCTTCAATCTCGACCCGAGTAAAGCACACTTCCCCGAGATGTACCCGGTACCCCAGACTTCACTTTCGCCGAGCTCCGAGACCGGAATCTCCGGAACACGCTTGTGTCCCTTTCCCGTGAGAGAGATCGACCCTTCCCCCCGGAAATTCTACTGTACTGAATCAGTACTGCGAATTTTCGAATCAACACCTTTTCCTCTTTTTAGTCGCTTCGAAATACATTTTTTTTCTTTTCAATTGCATGAGCAAACGGGAGATCCTCCAGGAGACCCTTTTTAAATGAATTTGTATGTATCCATTGAGTTCGACTCAGACTGTTTTCTATAGAACATTGCTGGCTTCTTCAGCTTGGCCAATTCCCAATGGATATATTGAGTGGATTGGGCGCTTGAGAATCTTCCTGTCTCCTCTCATGACCATGCATGATCGTTTTCTGAGATCTGTTCTCTCGCCACCGAACACGTTGACTACTCTGCAGAGCGGCCAGAACCCACGCGACGGACTCGGGTCTGCCATCAGGCACACGTCGCCCACATTGAGCTCATTCGGAGATGCTGGTTTGGTCTCAACTGCGTTCCTCAACTGACCCAAGTACTCGAGTCGGAATCTTTTCCAGAACGCCTTCATGACGGCCTCTTGGCGTTTCCACGCTTTCGACATAATTATCGGCATGTCCCGGTCGCTGACTTTCAAGTTGACCATCGAAGTATCTGGGAACCTGGCTCTTGCGTTGTATCCATTCACCAGATCCGCTGGGCACAGTGCTCTGACCTCACACTCACTGGATGGAAGCGCTGTTATTGGTCTCAGATTGACGCACAGCTCGATTTCCGACAGGATTGATTCCAACTCCCGAAATCTTGGTATATTCGTTCCTAAGATTTTCCGGAGTGGACGCTTTATGCAGCCCACCAAGCGCTCCCTCAGAATGAGGTATTCCGCACGGATATGATGAAGATTGGTGGTGATTCCTGGTGAATGGAGACATTTTGATTTGTGAATCCACGCTATGAGCAACTTCGTGAAATAGTTCCGCCCATCGAGGATTATCGGATATTTTTCACCGAACGACAGATCACCGGACTTGATCAATCCTGACTTACAACGTAGGATTCCATGTTCATCGACCATCGGATTGTAGAGATAAAGCTTGCTCGTTTTCGGTAGCTTTCTCCCTCCACTGGCGACTTCTGTCGGGAAATCCATTTGCTGTAGATCCCTTATAAGTGCTCTCTCTGCGTCAAGATATTCCTCGACCTGAACGGGAATGTCCATAGACAAATCCCTCTTGCGAGCTTTCTGGAAAACCCTCCTGACGTAAGCCAGCGATCTCACCGCTTTCGGCCACGATGAAAAGTGCTTCTCCTTGAGCAGAGACGACGACACCTTTGGCAAAGCCGTGACATGCAGGATGTCTGTTTCTGCGACGTTGCCATGCTTTGCCTCTGCTATTGCCTCCGCGAATTCTTCTTTGCCAATGCGGATCGGGTCCGGCAACTTTTGCTCTTTTAGCCACGAAGGTCCATTCAACCAGAACTCGACACTTTCCCTCGACTCCAGTGAGTTGCCTCTGCTGAGCAAATCAGCCGGGTTGGACTTCGTGGCCACATAGCGCCACTGATCCGGCGTTGAGAACCTCTGGATCTCGGTGATCCTGTTGGCGACGAAAGTTCGCCATTCCGATGGCCTGTCCCTCGTCCAACCGACCACAGCACTATTATCCACCCAGTAAACCGTCCTTTTGACTGTGTTTCCGAGTGCCGGTCTGAGCTTCTCAACCAGGCGACAGCTGACTAGAGCTGCCATCAGCTCCAAACGATGGATATTCCAATTGGCCTTGTTCGGCGCAACCTTCGCTTTCGCCATGAGGAACTTGATTTCCGGATCGCCGTCCTGGAAGAACTCCTTGAGATATATGACCGCCCCGTAAGCGACTTTCGACGCATCAGAGAACGCGTGGATTTCTGTCCGCCTGGGGAGTCTGTCGATCCTCGCGTTTGTTCGGCTAACGAGGATTCGATCCGCAGACTTGAGCTGCCGAACGAACTCTCCGTAGAGCTCACGATGTTTTGCGTTGAGACGATCGTCCCATTGAACTTTGTCCTGCCACATCATTTGAAACAGCACTCTGGCATGTATCGAAATCGGACAGATTATTCCGAGAGGATCGTAGATTTGAGCCAACCCTGAGAGCAGCGAACGCTTGCTCGGTTTCGCATCGTTGAAACATCTGTTGGCGTTGGTTACGAAAACACCAAGTGCGTCCGTAACCTGACACCAGCGTATCCCCAGGAATCGAAAGTCTGGTTCGGCGCTCCGAATCGACACTGTCTCATCGGAGAACGCTTGCCTCATTCCTTCCGCCACTTCTTCCGAATTGGTAGCCCATTTCTTCAGCGGGAAGTGCCCGCTTCGGAAAATTTCGACGCATTCGTTGTATCTTTGTTAATGCTGTCTCTTGGTTAACACTACCGAAACTCAAATCATCCATGTAACATGAGAACTGCAGCTCATTGATGAACTCAGTCTCAGACGGCCGACGAGTCTTCTCGCCATCCAGATGGAATTTGAGGCCTGCTTGGTATAACCATGGGCTAGCGGAAGTCCCGAAATCCAATCTTTTCGACCAGAACTCCTTGATAGGAGCTCCGGCGTTTCTTGAGACTCCGGGCCGATAGTAGTATCTGAGGAACGTTCGGTGTGATCGATCGATTTCAAACTGATGATATGCTTTCTCCACATCCGCCACGACGGCAATGGGAGACTCTCGAAATTTCGTGAGCACGAGGAGAATGTTCTGGAGTAGGTTGTATCCTGTTATCAGAACGTCGTTTAATGAAGCCAGATCCTTCGAACGACAACCTGCATCCTTGACAATCCTCAACTTGAAGCCCCTAGGTGACCCTTGGTCGGGTTTCTTGACCACCTGGAGTGGTAGATAATGCACGAATTCTCCCGGCTTCCGTTTCGGAGCCAGCTCGGCATAGCCCTCCTTGATGTATTTCTCCATCTCTTCGTCGATCGCCTCGAGAACTTCTTTGGAACTCCGCGAAATGAGCGAGTTCAATCTGTTGATAGCAATCTTTTCATTGTCGCCTAGCGACTGGAGATTTTCGTTGAAGATGAGCTTAAGTCGATATCTCCCATCTTTGTTCCTCGAGATGTTTGCCTTGAACAACTCATCCAGGCGTTGCATCTCTGCTGCAGTTTCGTTTTCTGCTGGCGGTTCGACCCCAAGTAGCTCAGTCTCGAACAAGAACTCAATGTCTCGTTCTGTTTTCGAGTTTTCCCGAGCCTCGGTGGTGGATTTCAGTGACTGTTGTTGCTGTTGAGTTGACGCCGACGACTGGAGTGCACACACGACGTTGGTGAACGGACTGAGCGGCGCCTTTCTTCCGAAGGTGAACCACCCGAGTCTTGTTTTCAGTGCCATCAGCCGTCCCTCCGACCGCGACTCGTTGAGCCATATTTGACCCAGGTCATCTGTGCCGAGGAGGATGTCAATCTCCTTGAATTCGGGATCCTCAACGAGATCTGCGAATTCGCTGATTCCGCCCAGCCGCTCAGCTGGAGGGAAGATTGAGTCCGTGATCACTGGAATGCCAAGGCATTCGACGGGAATGGATTCTTGAGGAG